CTCCGTCCCTGACATTGTCAATGTAGTGAAATAATACGTGTATCGTTTCTCCGTCCCTGACATTGTCAATGTAGTGAAATAATACGTGTATCGTTTCTCCGTCCCTGACGCTGTCAATGTAGTGAAACAATACGTGTATCGTTTCTCCGTCCCTGACATTTTTTAAGGTACGTAACTTTATTCATTTATTTCAAGAATTCATTGTTTACATAATAAGTATGAATCGAGATTCTCCCGAGGTATAACTCAAGCTAGCATATTTAGACTAATCTATGCGTGTCACGTGTATTTCTACGTTACCCAGGTGTCTCAACTCTTCATAATGTTACAGCTGCTACATAGCTACAGCATCCTCTAGTTTTTAAACTTAACAGGCCTCTCGGTAGGGTTCCCAAAAATATGCAGGATAAATACAGAAAAGTAGGAAGAATACGTGAATTTTAGAGACAAAATAAAGGACTGTGTTACACGAAAAATGTAATCAATAATTTGAGAATTACTAGTTAAACTTTTCATCATCGCGTCAAGTCACTGGTGAGCCCCCACCCCCCCTCTCCCCCCTCCTATTTACCCTTGCTTTTAAGAAAATACTTAAGAAAATTAAATTTATTAGTGATAAAAAGATTAAGGAAAAAAAATTAAAATAACTGGTTTCTTATTATTGTTTTATTATACATTTCGTTTTTTTTTTTTATTATTATAGTTTAAACGCGCGGTGGGCCCTGGGCAACTGCCCCTTTTGACTATTAGATAACACGGCCCTGAATTACTATAGTTGACAGATGAAACGCAGACTTTATCCTCCTGTTACCTACAATATCCATCCAAAGATTATAAAATGAATTGAGTGGTAATCAGAAGTTGGTATTTTCATGTTATTTCATGCTCTTAAACATTCTCTGTAGGAAGCACAAGTTCTTAGTATCCCACATCAAGTACACGTGTACACCCACAACAGCTTCATAGTACTGGTATGTCAGCATTAATGTTAGTGTAAAACACCTGTTGCTTGAACCGATACACACTATATACAGTAAACTAGCTTGACAGTGTACACGTAATACCTACCAAAACAATGCAGTAATACACTCACAATGTGCACTACTAGGGCACAACATTCCAAATAAAGTGTAATATAAGGTACACCCTTATATTACAGGTCTTAGTATTTCTATGTGTATCATGTAAACTCCTGTATTTGTGTTGTGAGTTACTACACGTAACTCACAACACAAATACAGGAGTTTATGATACACGTAGAAATACTAAGACCTGTGATATAAGGTACACGTAACTCACAACACAAATACATGAGTTTACATGATACACATAGAAATACTAAGACCTGTAATATAAGGTACACTGATACACACAGAAATACTAAGACCTGTAATATAAGGTACACGTAATTCACAACACAAATACAAGAGTTTATGATACACATAGAAATACTGAGACCTGTAATATAAGGTACACGTACTCACAACACAAATACAGGAGTTTACATGATACACATAGAAATACTAAGACCTGTAATGTAAGGTACACGTAACTCACAACACAAATACAGGAGTTTACATGATACACATAAAAACACTAAGAGATGAGAATTGTTTACGGTAATTACGGGACACCTGGGAGGTGTTGAGTTAACTACATGGTTATACAGGTGTCACGTGATATTTATAAACGCAGCTTTTCCCATACATCGCATGTTGCGGTGTCAAATATTACATAAGCTAAGCCACAGCTTTTCTTGAGTGACATACGTGTCAAAAGCACAGTTACGCAATTCCCAAGTGTTACGTTTTCACGGTTATAGATTTCTACACATGTCACATTTATAGAAGCAGCTTTTTCATGTGTCGCATGTTACCTATGTGTCGTGCGTAACCAAGAAGCCTTCCAGAGAAACATTTCATAAACCTACAGCATTTCTGATGTGTCACGCGTGAAACATATCATGAACGTACAGCATTTCTGGTATGTCACGCGTGAAACATCTCATGAACCTATAGCATTTCTGATGTGTCACGCGTGAAACATTTCAGAAACCTACAGCATTTCTGATGTATCACGCGTGAAACATTTCATAAACCTACAGCATTTCTGATGTGTCACGCGTTTAGGCGCAACTTTTGAGGGTTTCACTCATGGGCTTAGCTAGAGTGAAAGGAAAATGAACCCGAGGTTCAAACACCAACAAGCACGTAGCTTTAGGTATTGTATGTCCTTTCCATATGGGTGTCAAATTAATGTAGTGCGTTCCATTTAATTTAACCTCGGTGACCTCGTGGTTAGCTACGGCCTCAAATGTAACATGTATAACTGTTACCTTGATGGTAATGTTACAAGTAAAGCTAAGCTGCACTTTCTTCGGATGCTATCAGTTCACTTCACACGCCAACCATTTTACGTACAGACTATGTTCAACCCTTTCAAAGGATTAGCCCTTATAGTTGCCATCAGATTGCGAAAGTTTTTATAAGACAGTGGCAATTATTTTGCCATAATCCCCCCCAAAAAGGGGCTCATAAATAAAGCATAAAAATAATGCCAATTGTGTTTTGTTTTTCTCATTGAATTCACCTATAACCATTTAGTTCACGTAACCAGGGGTGTCGCCGGTGGGTGGGTGAAAGACTACTCCAGTATTCTAAAAGTTCTATAAGGTCCGCTATATTCTGATTTTTTTGTTTCATTAATAAACACCTAATTTTCATATAAATCACTTAAATATATGTAAAAAAAAA